TGCTTTCCCCATGGTAGCTGACCTCGCTACTCACCTCCGTGCACTAGAGACCAGCTATCGCGCTGCTAGCTCTACCGCCCAGCTTACTGCCTTCCCCCCACCTTTCTGCGCTACCCTGTACCTCATCGTCATGCGCCTGCCTGACCGCCTAGCCACTGCCCGCGACCACTTCCTTAGTCAGCACCCTGCCGACCTCACCCTAACCGCCTTTGTCACTACTCTGTCTGAGAAAGAGACTCATCTGCGACTATCGCTTAGTCGAGCGGTGTTGCGGCAGTCCCTATCTTTCAGGGCTATGCCCCCTCCCAGTACATATAAGCTGACGTCTCCACCGTAGTTGCCATGACTGCACCTGCACCTGAGACAGCAGCTGCGGCTTACCCGCAGCAACGCCAGTGCCGGGGCCGCCGTGGCCCCAAGGGAGGACGTGGAGGTGGCGCTAGTGGTGGTGGTGGTGGGGACAGTGGTTCTGACGAGGGGGTTGGTGCTGGTGCTCAGGAGCAGCAGCAGTCGCCGCAGTCGCAGGCGCCGCATCAGCAGCAGCCGTTACAGCTGGAGCAGAAGCAGCCGTGGGCTCGTCTCCTGCCCGGGTGGCCAGGAGCCCCTTGCGGTGGTGGTCGTGGTGGTGGCCCTCGTAGCTCGGCGTCCACAGGCAACTTTGGTGCTGTCTGCTACCTGTACCACCTTCAGACCGGGCCCCTGCGTGGCACGGTGTGCCGCCGCTCGCACCCCACCACTCGCTGCTTCTGTCGCCTTGACGACCTCTTCCGTCGCCGCTTTGGTCCCGCCCCGGACCTCCCTGACTGGCCCACCCTGCTGCGCCACGATGTGCCTGTGTTTGACTTAGACATGGATAAGATTAGTTCTGCCTTGCATTCTCTGTATGCTGACGCTTCGAGTGTTTCCAGATCATATTACTCTGTGTTCTCTAGCTTAGGCGTAGCACCTGTGTGTAGTTCAGACTCCCCTGCTGCATTAGGCGTAGGACAGCTTGCTTTGTCTAGCCTAGGCTCTACCCTTGCTCCTCCGTCATCGGCTACTATGGCGTCGCTGTCCTTCATTCTAGACTCCGGTGCGTCAGCCTGTTTCTTCCGCGACCACGCCGCCCTCACGCCGCTTGCTGCACCTGCCGCTGTCGCCCTTGCGGACCCCTCCTCGGGTCCTGTAGTTACTCGCAGCTACACTACCCTTCCCTGTCCGGCGATTCCCTCGGGTTCACTTACAGGCCTGCACATCCCATCGTTCTCCAGGAACTTAGTTGGTGTCGGCTGTCTTCAGGACCTCAGTGTCACCACTATGTTCCCTGGTCACGAGCGGTACGCGGTCTCTTCCGAGGCCACCTCAGGTGCCCCCGTTGCGACGTTCCCCCGGGACCCTGTGTCTGGCCTGTTTACGCTTGACACTACTCCCCCTCTGGCGGGCGAGTCCTCCTCCGGTCCTGCGTCCAGCCAGGTAGCTGCGACATGCTCATGTCGGTCGCTCACTCACCCGTCACTGTTGTGGCACCACCGCCTAGGTCACCCCGCGCTCCCCCGCCTGCGTCACATGTCTCAGCACGGTCTAGTCCTCGGCCTCCCTTCGTCGCTCCCTGCTCTCCCTCCCTCTCCTGCGCCGCCGTGCATGCCCTTCGTCGAAGGCCGGCTGTGCCATGCTCCTCACTCCTCCTCACTTCGCCCTGCCACTGCACCCCTTCAGACCCTGCACTTGGACGTCTGGGGCCCAGCCCCTGTCCCTGGACTGCGTCGCGAGCGCTACTTTCTTGTGCTCGTTGACAACTTCACGCGCTACACTACGGTGTTTCCCCTGGAGCGGAAGGCCGACGTGCCTGACGTTCTTACCCCATGGCTCGTTGCTGCGTGCCTCCACTGCGGTCTCCTTGTGCTGTGTCTCCACTCCGACCGTGGCGGCGAGTTCGCCTCTGGTCGGTTGGGTCAGTTCTATCGTGCAGAGGGTACCACCCAGATGTACACCCTACCGGACTCCCCGCAGCAAAATGGGGTCGCTGAGCAACGCATCGGTTTGGTCATGGAGGTGGCTCGTACCTCCATGATCCATGCCGGTGAGACCCATTTTCTGTGGTCGTTCGCCGTTCGCTACGCCGCTCACCAGCTTACCCTCTGGCCTCGCTCTCAGCGGCCGCAGGTTTCGCCGACCCTTCTTTGGACCGGGTTCCCTGGTGACGCGTCAGCGTTCCACGTCTGGGGCTGCCTTGCTCACGTTCGTGCCTCCGGAAGACTGTTCGTGGACTCTGGAGGTGCTGGAGTTGGAGAGGGTGCTAGTCCTGGGGCTCCTGTCGTGGCTTGTCCCGGCGGGCTCGGGGGTGGCACCGGCACTGGAGACGTTTCTCGTTCTAGGGGTGCTGGCATGGAGTGTACCGGAGGTAGCAGCGGTGCAGCTGGTGGTCTAGGTGTCGGCATTGAGTAGCAGCAGCAGCAGCAGTCGTCGCCGATGTCCGCCCTTCGCCTGCTCGGCCTTCCCTCCCCTGCCCGCTCACCTGCGCCTCCCTCGTCGTCTCCCCCTCTTCCTGTTCACGGTCCCATGTTTCCTCCGCCGGACTCGTCCCTGGCTCGTTTCCCCTCTCCTTCCCCTTCTGTTACTCATCCTCTGTCTCGTGACCCAACGCCTCCGTCTCACGTCTGGTCTTGCCGTCCCTCTCGTGCTCGTCCTCTCGCTCTTGTTCAGCGTTCTCACCCTATGTTGCTTCGTTCCCACGCATCTTGTCCTCCCCTCCTGCCTTCGCCTCCTCCGTCGTCACTCACTGCCGCGCCTCCCCCTCTATCCAACTACCTTCATGCTGCTCATCCTCTTGTTTCTCGGGTCCTTGCCTCCCTCGTTACCGACCTGTCTGTTCCTGTCTCCAGTCTTGACGCTCTTGTTGCTGTTGTCACTGACTTTGCCTCTACTCGCCGCCTTGACTTTGCTACCATTCTGGTCTCTGACCCTGTTTGTCCTCTGTCCACCGGGGGTGCTCCTGCCCTCGGCAGTGACGTCTTGGAGGACCGGCAGTACGAGCTTGCTTTCCTGTTAGAGGCTGCTCCCCACCTCTGTTCCATGCTACTAGTCCTTGAGGGTGACCCCGACGCCTTTGACATCCCGACTCCTTGCACCTACGCTGTTGCAACCTCGGGACCCTGAGCCTCTCAATGGATAGCTGCCTTGGAGCAGGAGATAGCATCTTGGAGGGCTACCGGCACCTACGTCGACGCAGTTCCCCCACATGGGATGAACGTAGTCGATGGCCGGTAGCTCTTCAAGGTGAAGCGCCCCCCTGGAGAGCCGCTTGTGTTCAAGGCGCGCTACGTGGCTAGAGGCTTCAGTCAGTAAGAGGGGGTGGACTTCTTTCATACCTTCGCCCCGACCCCGAAGATGACTACTCTTCGGGCGCTGCTACACGTAGCAGCACGGCGTGACTACGAGCTTCACTCCCTCGACTTCTCCACTGCTTTCCTTCAGGGCAGCCTACACGAGCAGGTCTACCTGCGCCGCCCTCAGGGCTTCATCAGTACTTTCCCTCCTGGGACCCAGTGGCTCTTCCGGCGGCCCATCTACTGCTTGCGACAGGCGCCCCGTGAGTGGCACGACACGCTGCGTGCCACGCTAGCTGACCTGCAGTTCTTGCCGTCCTCTGCTGACCCTTCGCCCTTCGTTCGTGCTGGCCAGACTCCGTTCTACATCCTGGTCTACGTAGACGACTTGGTCTTTGCTACATCAGACAGAGACGCGCTGGCCCCCGTGAAGGCTGAGCTACTGAGGCGATACATCTGCACTGATCTGGGAGAGCTGTGCCGCTACCTTGGCCTGCAGATCTCCAGGGACAGAGCCGCACGCACCATCACTCTTACACAGTCACACTTGGTGCGCCAGGTCCTTCAGAGGTTCGGTCTTCAGTTCTCATCCGCACAGCCCACACCTCTGCCGGTAGACCACAGGCTCTCAGCTCCAGTTCCCGAGGAGTCAGCAGAGCCCAGTGGTCTTAACGCAGAGCTGGTGGGTTGCTTCATGTACCTGATGACGTGCACTCGCCAAGATCTCGCATACACTCTCAGCATCCTGGCCCGCTTTGTGGCCACAGGCAGACACCGACCACAGCATTGGTCGGCCGCTAAGAGGGTTTTGCGTTATCTTGGAAGTACATCGGGCATGGGGCTATTGCTGGGAGGATGCAGGCCAGTGGTCCTTACTGGGCACACAGACGCTTCTTGGGCAGACGACGCTGAGACCCTCCGGTCCTCCCAGGGCTACTTCTTCAGCCTTGGTTCTAGTGCCATCTTGTGGAGGTCCACTTGCACCTCGACTGTAGCTCAGTCTAGCTGCGAGGCTGAGATCTACGCCGGTGCCATGGCGGCACAGGAGCTCCGCTGGCTGACTTTCTTGCTTGCCGACTTAGGTGAGCGGCCTAGCTCTGCCCCGGTTCTGTATGCTGACAACAGAGCCATGATCCTCCTGTGTCAGGAGCCTCGACTTGAGGGCAGAGCGAAGCACATCCAGCTACGGTACTTCCTCCTGCGCGAGCTTCAGCAGCGTCGCCAGGCCCGCGAAGTACACTTGGCCTCCGGTGCCAACACAGCTGGTATCTTTACTAAGGCGCTTCTGCCTAGAGATCATGAACGGCACTGCTTGTAGTTAGGTCTAGTCCTTGTTGACTCTCACTTGCTAGGCCCTTGATTGTGTACTCCTTTCTATTTATGCCTTGCAGACTGGCCTTGTGGCTTTTCTTCCAGTGGTTGGACTAGTAGTGCCGCCCTGGTTTGCTCTGTCTTGCTTGTACTCTTGCTGACTGGTCTTCGGGCCCCTGCCTCAGAGGTTGGACTAGTAGTGCCACCCTGAGCTGCGTGTTTCTTGCTCAGCACTACCCCTTATCTAGCCTGGGGTTTTGTCAACTTATGCATATATTGTTATGCAGAAGTTATAGGCTAGATATGTTATGTTCTTAGTGGGTACAACCCTAATACTATATCTCCCCTGTTCTTCTTTGTTCTAATCATTGATTCTAGTTTTAACACTCTGGCCAACTGTGGTGTATATATACACTCATTGAGTTACTATATCCATGTGTTGCATTCAAGGAAGCATTTGTTTTGGAGTGACCAACATCTACCAGCAAGCCCACCATCTTCATCCCACTCAGAAATGAGGGACTCAGATTGCCCAAGGGAGAGATAAAGTGGGAGCCATCCCACAGCAAGCAAGCCACACACACCCTTCAACCTTGATTCAGTAGGCGTGTAAAAAGGGCGGCTCAAACCATGGCACCTGCAGAAAGGAGGCGACATGCAGAGACAGCCAACGCTGCTCTGCCAGTGACAAGCGAGCGCCGAAGGAAAGTGTCTCGCCGCCCGCCATGGTGAGCTGGCAGAAAGTGATTGGCGGAGAGTGATGGTGGTGGTGATAGTGGCCGCTATGCTCCCAAGAGTCATGGTGATAGTGGTGGTGCTGTAGGCAGGGCATTAGGTAGGAAGGGAAGGAAAAGGGTTTGAAGGGAAGGAAAAGGGTTTGAAGGGAAGGAAAAGGGTTTGAAGGGAAGGAAAGGGTTTGAAGGAAAGTGCAACCCCCGAAAGTCATTGTGATGGTGCTGCAGGAAGGGATGGAAAACGTTTTGAGTCGACTTAAGAGGAGAGTAGTGGCGATGGTGATGGCGATGGTGATGGTGACATGCTAGGAGTCGTGGCTGCTATGCTCCTAAGAAAATAATAATCATGGTGATGGAGATGGTGATGGTGATGGAGATGGTGATGGTGATGGTGATGGTGATGGTGATGGGGATGCGGATGGGGATGGGGATGGGGATGCGGATGGGGATGGGGATGGGGATGCGGATGGGGATGGGGATGGGGATGGGGATGGGGATGGGGATGGTGATGGAGATGGTGATGGTGATGGTGATGGGGATGGGGATGGGGATGGGGATGGGGATGCGGATGGGGATGGGGATGGGGATGCGGATGGGGATGGGGATGGGGATGCGGATGGGGATGGGGATGGGGATGCGGATGGGGATGGGGATGGGGATGGGGATGGGGATGGTGATGGAGATGGTGATGGTGCTGGTGCTGCAAGGAAGGGATGACAAAAGGTTCGAGAGTAGGGCAGCGAGAGTGGTGTGCACACAAGACAGCCCAAAGAAGGGCAGCGTCTGCCCCTTAACACTCCGGGGCCACCTGTCCACATGCACGCCCTATTGGCGTGCTCCGTCTCACCTGCATCGTATTGTTGATTCCAGCGCCGTGGATGAGAGCCGTGTGCACAGAGGACAGCCCAAAGAAGGGCAGAGTCTGCCCCTTAACACTCCGGAGAATCGTGAGCTGACACGTGGACGAGTCCACAGTCACTGTTTCGTCCATGATGTGGCGCAGCACTGAGTGCGCCAGAAGGCTGGAGAGAGGGGAGGGGAGCGGGGGGAGTGGCGTAAGGTGCATGCAAGGTTATGCGATGCGGTATCAATCCAATCAACATCATGAAACTATGACCGTCACTGTTTCCTCCATCATGAAACTATGACAGTCACTGTTTCCTCCATCATGAAACTATGACCGTCACTGTTTCCTCCATCATGAAACTATGACAGTCACTGTTTCCTCCATCATGAAACTATGACAGTCACTGTTTCCTCCACCATGAAACTATGACAGTCACTGTTTCCTCCATCATGAAACTATGACAGTCACTGTTTCCTCCATCTATGACCGTCACTGTTTCCTCCATCATGTTGCCGCAGCACTGAGTGCACCAAAAGGCTGAGGGGAGGGAGGGAGGGAGGGAGGGAGGGAGGGGCGAGGGGCGTGTGTTCCAAGGTCATGGCATGGTATATTCCCAATCCAGCAACGTCATCAAAGTCTACAGTCACTGTTTCGCCCATGATGTGCCGCAGCAGTGAATGGCTGAGCAGGCTGGAAAGAGGGGGAGGGTGGGGGCGGAAGGGGTGGGGTGGCATGAGTAGGTCATGAGATAATCAGTCACGGGGACGAGCCTACAGTCCCTGCTTCGTGCATGATGTGCCGCAGCACTGAGTGGACAAGAGGGCTGGAGGGAAGGGGGGGAGGGGGAGAGGGAGGGGGCGGGGGAGGGGGAGATGGAGGGAAAGGGGGAGGGGGAGGGGGAGGTGGAGGGGGAGAGGGAGAGGGAGGGGGAGGGGAAGGAGGAGGGGGAGGGGGAGGAGTGGCATATTTGCAAGACTATGCACTCATCATCAGGACGACTCTGACAGGAGCTGTTTCGTCCATGGAGTGCCGACGGACTGAGGCAAAAGGAGGCTAGGGCGCCCACGTTCCTGGGAGAAGCAGAAGGAAGCGCGGGGGGGGACATGACATATGGTCGTTGGCTTACAGGACGTACGGGGAAAAAAAAAAACTAACTTAGAAAGAGTAAATAGGAGACTGCGAGAATCATGGAAGGGGGGCACGAGATAACCCAACGCCCACAGCCCAGAAAGGAATGGAGAAGCGAGCGAAGAAGAATGGAGCTCCGGAGGTTGCTGCTGTGAATGCCCAGATTGATTTTGGAAGCTACTTGCTTACCCAATGCCCACAGCCCAAAAGGGGATGGAGAAGAGAGCGAAGAAGAGTGGAGCCCCGGAGGTTGCTGCTGTGAATGTCCAGAAAGCAACGAAGGCAGTCCAGAACTGGGCGAGCAGAGAGACGGAGGGAGGTGATGGCGCGAGCAGAGAGGCGGAAGGAGGTGACGATGAGAAGAAGAGAGAGGATATGATCAAATCACAGAGAAGCAGGAAACTCTGGAGAATGCTGCTGTGAATGTACAGAGCCACAAAGGCAGTCCAGAAGTGAGAGACGGTGACGGGGGGAGATGAGTGAGAGGGCGAACGAGAAGGGGATGATTGCGACACATGTTGCTGTTGCGAAGAAGGTCCAGAAGGCACAAATGCAGCCCAGAACTGAGAGGTGATGGAGGATAAATGGGAAATAAGTGGAGGAAGGAAATGAAGATAGCAGGGCCACCATCTGCATAGATTTGAGTTGGTTTTCGAGAATTAAAAAAAAAACCATTGAAGACAGCAGAATCACCATCTGCTGCTGCCGTGCACTTGCCAAAGGCAACACAGGCAGCGCAAACGTGAGAGGGATGGTTTTGAGGCGCATGAAAACTGCACTTGCCAAAGGCAACACAGGCAGCGCAAACGTGAGAGGGGATAGATGAAGGGGAAATGAGTGGAAGGAACGGGGAGGGGAGGGCATGGGGGCAACAGAGTGACAAGAGCGCGCTTAGAGGAAGACTTTTGAGTTGATTCAAAAGCCATATTGTAATACGGAGGAACGAGGATGATGAATGGGTTGAAGCGAGGCCGGAGCAGGTGGCTGGAGGGAGAGAGGAGTTGACAGCTCTAATTGAAACATGACAGCTCTTGGGTGGGCTGAAGACTGGCTCTTGGGTGGGCTGAAGACTGGACGGACAGAAGCTCAAGCTGCTTACCAGAGCAAAAACAAGGTGACTTTTGAGTTGACTCAAAAGTCATCTTGGGCTGAAGACTGGGAAGCCGCTCAAGCTGCTTACCGTTGGGGAGACCCTGGCAGACTCAAAAACTATCTCCGGGAGCTTTTGAATCGACTTGACTCAAAAACTGCTCACAAGCTTACCAGGGAGACTCAAAAGTGGGCTCTCACGCTTACCAGGGCAAAAACAATCTCCGGGAGCGCTTTGAAGGAGAAGCGCTGGGGAGGGATGGTGAAGTGGAGGAGAGTGGGCGAGCGGGAAAAGGCTACTCGCGTGCCTATCGGCTGAGAGTAGGGCTGAGACGCCCAAGCGTTGACAGGAGTCCCCACTGCTGCTGCTGCAGCCCCAGCATGTGTTGCCAGAAACGGTGGAGGTGGTATTGCTGCTGAAGCGGCAGCCCATGCGTGTGGCGGTGGGGAGGTGGGGGACTGCTGCGGGGAGTATGGCTGAGGGGGAAACGGCTGGCTGGCCGGCACGGGAACGCCGATTTGATGGCCAGCCGAGGGGAGGAGCGAGGTGAAGGGGAGGGAGAAGGAGAAGGGGAGCAGGGAAAAGCGCGTGGGGGGAGGCATTTGGAAAAAAGGCGCGGTGGGGGAAAGAGGGGGAGGGAAGGGGGGAGGTGGGGGAGCAGGGGTCGCACCATTCGGGCCACCAAAACCACCAACACCAGCAGCAGCAGCAGGAGGATAAGGAGTGGAAAGAGGGGTGTTGGAGGAGGAGGAGGTTGAGGAAGCGAGCAGAGGGGCGTGATGTGAGCCTTGGCCTGAGCCTCCGCTGGACAAATGCGGCCGTTCGCCTTCGACTGGCTGGTCCTCGTTGAAACCCTAGGCGACCGACAGAGCAGTGGCAGAGAACAGTAAGAAACGGGGGAGGAGGGAAGAGAAAGGGCGTGGCATGGGTGACACAGCAAAGGAAAGCAGGCGAAGAAACAAAAGCAAAATGGGAATTTATGAAAAGCGCGGATCAGATTCGAGAACAAGGCGATGGAAGGAATACCGTATCCGGAAAAACGGAGCGGGAAGGACCATTTAGTCGGATCCAAAGGGATTAAGAGGGATTCAAAGGGATAATCTTGTTGCGATGCTCACCATGTTGAAGGTCCCACGGCTGTACCCGCTCGAATATCTGAGACTCGACTCCCCGGGAATCCTGAAGCGCACAGAAAATTGCAATTCCCAGTCTCTTGCAGCAATTCGCCTATTCGACGCCTTCGGCTATTCGACGCTTTCGGCTCTGCTTTCTCCCTGAACCATCGGATGGCTCGTTCCCGTGGCTTCTTCTATCAAACCACCTGCGCACGTAGCGAACCCCGAGGCTGCTGCAGAGCGACGCTGGCGAGGGCGGTTACCGTGGTTCGGCGAGCCAAGTTCCGTTCTTTAATCATTCGCAACACCCGTTTCGTCCCAAGCTACTACGTGTCGCTCTGATGTCGGCACCACGGGGCTGTTACGCCGGTTATCAGTGAGCAGCGTCGGAAAAACAGGCGCGCACCTCTTAGCGAGAATTCTAGAGACAGGTAGCCTATTGAGGCCCGAGCTACAACCTACTACTAGGTACTACAAGGTCGTGCTGCTACTAATACTCGGTTCTTGCGGCTGGTTTATGCGGTTTGCTGCAACACTTCGCGTTCTCCTTTTTTGTTGGCCTGGAATGGTGGGCCGTTGTGAAAACCTTGGAACTGCCGAGGAAGAGGTGGAGGCGAAGAAATTGTCCGCTCTATTGGATATCGAAATTGTCGGATATTAGTGGTGGACAATTTGTTTGCCTAGTGTTACACAATTTCGATGCATACGGTGGTGGAAGATTATGCAACACAACAAAGAATTGAGGTCCACGGGCATAAAAAACAAAGTTTGCGCGGTGCAGAGCGGTTCCGAACACATTCTTAGGGTTCCTGATGGTTTATACCGACGTACCCCTAGGAGCAACCGCCTAACTATTCTAGCTGAGGATAACCAAGACTGAGGGTAGCTAGTTATCATAACCGTCCATTTGGCCGGCTCGCATTTGTTGGAACATCCCCCGGCCGCCTGTAGCCGTCGCGCACTGTCACTGCTAGCCGTCTCAGTGCCGGCGGGTCGCAGCCATGCCGTCCTTAATCGCGTCCGAGTCTGTCGGCCCCTCGGCCAATCAGGTTGCCCAAACCGATCCACAGGTACGGAATCTGGAGGAGCCTAGCGGCGGGGCTCGGACCGAGCCTCCAGCTCGTGCAGCCGGGGCTGAACCGTCAGGTCCGGGAATGGAAGGATTAGGAGGGTCGAAAGAAGCAGAAAGAGTGGGAGCAGCGGTAACGGAAGAAGTAGGAGGACGAGAGGCAATGGGCAGAGCGGAGGGGGCGGAAGGCGGAGACGGAGGTAGAGCGGAGGGAACGGAAGGGGCAGAAGTTGCGGAAGGAGCGGAAGGAGCGGCGGAAGGAGCGGACAGAGGGGAAGGGGCAGAAGGGACGGCAGCGACAGCGTTAGATGCGGCTGAAACCGCGGAGGGAATGGGGAGAGGCGGAGGAGAGACGGCAGAGACGCCGGAAGTCGTGGACTGGCCTCTGCTGCAGTTCGCCCAGCCCGCTCCCGCCTGCCGCGCGCTGATCTGGCAGTGCTTCCGCGCTGATGACGCGGATGCTGACGTGGCGGCTGACGTGGCAGGCGGAAGCAACGGCGGGCGGGGATGCGCGGATGGGCGTGGCGCGGGCAGGAAGCGGAAGGCTGGATGTGAGCGGGTGGTGCAGAGCCGATGGCAAGTGGGGCCTTCTGGGAACTTTCTCAAGGGCGTGAAATGGTGAGGTGGTGCTGCTGGGTGGGGGAGGAGGATGGTCAGAAGAGGGCATTGGCTTTCGAGAATTCTCAAAAACCAACTTTCGTCAGAGCAGAGGGCATTGGCTAGTGGAGGGAAGCGGTGATGGGGGGTGATGTGTTAATGGGATGGGGCAACGATCGGATTCTGACTTGTGAATCTAGCCTTTGAGTGGGTTGTGGCGTGCGTTTCAGTCTCTCGCGTCTTGATGCGAATCTACATGCTCTGCTGCTGCTGCTGCTGCTGCTGCTGCTCGTTGGCCACGTCATGGCAGGTCGCCAGATGGCACATGTCTACTGGCTGCCAGCGAGGACTGCTGCCTTCGCCTCTTTGACCTGTATGTGTCATGCCATGCCATGCCATGCCATGTCATGCCATGCCATGCCATGCCATCCCATGCCATACCATGCCATGCCATGCCATCCCATGCCATGCCATGCCATGCCATGCCATGCCATGCCATCCCATGCCATGCCATGCCATGCCATGCCATCCCGTCTTGCGATTTCTCATGCCTTTGCAGCATGTGTGAAGTGCTTTGTTGGGGCGATCTCAAGGGATCGTGCTGGAACTGAGCCGAGACAACAACGAGCACTTGCTGCTCTGATGCAACAACGAGCACTTGCTGCTCTGATGCAACAACGAGCACTTGCTGCTCTGATGCAACAACGAGCACTTGCTGCTCTGATGCAACAACGAGCACTTGCTGCTCTGATGCAACAACGAGCACTTGCTGCTCTGATGCAACAACGAGCACTTGCTGCTCTGATGCAACAACGAGCACTTGCTGCTCTGATGCAACAACGAGCACTTGCTGCTCTGATGCAACAACGAGCACTTGCTGCTCTGATGCAACAACGAGCACTTGCTGCTCTGATGCAACAACGAGCACTTGCTGCTCTGATGCAACAACGAGCACTTGCTGCTCTGATGCAACAACGAGCACTTGCTGCTCTGATGCAACAACGAGCACTTGCTGCTCTGATGCAACAACGAGCACTTGCTGCTCTGATGCAACAACGAGCACTTGCTGCTCTGATGCAACAACGAGCACTTGCTGCTCTGATGCAACAACGAGCACTTGCTGCTCTGATGCAACAACGAGCACTTGCTGCTCTGATGCAACAACGAGCACTTGCTGCTCTGATGCAACAACGAGCACTTGCTGCTCTGATGCAACAACGAGCACTTGCTGCTCTGATGCAACAACGAGCACTTGCTGCTCTGATGCAACAACGAGCACTTGCTGCTCTGATGCAACAACGAGCACTTGCTGCTCTGATGCAACAACGAGCACTTGCTGCTCTGATGCAACAACGAGCACTTGCTGCTCTGATGCAACAACGAGCACTTGCTGCTCTGATGCAACAACGAGCACTTGCTGCTCTGATGCAACAACGAGCACTTGCTGCTCTGATGCAACAACGAGCACTTGCTGCTCTGATGCAACAACGAGCACTTGCTGCTCTGATGCAACAACGAGCACTTGCTGCTCTGATGCAACAACGAGCACTTGCTGCTCTGATGCAGCAACGAGCACTTGCTGCTCTGATGCAACAACGAGCACTTGCTGCTCTGATGCAGCAACGAGCACTTGCTGCTCTGATGCAATGCAACAACGAGCATTGTGTTCGACGAGCACCTCACAGCCCAATTGTTCTGCTTTTGCACCGGCACGACTACCCCTCTCACCGCTCTTATTCTCCCGCTTCCTTCTTCTCTCTTTACCCAACTGTAAGATTGCTCGTTTGTTGCTGTAAAATTTCTCTTATTCTCTGCAACCTGTTCGCGTGTCCTTCAGGCCTGCTGACATCATGCTGGCGTCAGCTCCTCCATTAGACATGGAAGATGAGGCCACACTTCCCACGCGAGGTGCGATGAACGCGCATGAGCATGTGCATGCACGTGCTTTTGAGTCGACGTAAAAGCATGCACGTGCTTGCATACATGCGTCATGTGTGATGAACATGCATGAGAATTTACATGTACACAATAACATATGCATGCATAGTGGAGCAGTTGCATCTACGTGCTTATGTTTGGTCTGCATGCATATGTTCCACTGTGCATGCATATGTTCCACTGTGCATGCATATGTTCCACTGTGCATGCATATGTTCCACTGTGCATGCATATGTTCCACTGTGCATACATATGTTCCACTACACATATGTTCCACTGTGCATACATATGTTCCACTACACATATGTTCCACTGTGCATGCATATGCTCCACTAAGCATGCATATGCTCCACTATGCATACAGTACATATGTTTCACGTGGTTTTGTTTCCTGCACATACATGTGTGTGTCTGTGTTTGTGCGAGCTGGTAGATGGGAGCGAGAGGAAGAGTAAACATGCAGCCGCACGGGCACTGCTTGCCCCATCTATCACCCGGATCTTCTGCCAAGACCTTTCCCCATCCCCTCCTCTTCCCTCCCCTCCTCTTCCCTCCCCTTCTCTTCCCTCCCCTCCTCCCCCCCATCCCCTCCTCTTCCCACCCAGACTCTCTCACCCCTGCAGTGACTGTGAGGGAGGGAGAGACCATCTACGACTTTGCTTGGTTCCCTGCCATGTCAGCAGCTGGTATGCCTCGTCATTGGTGCATGCCTTTGGGTTTTAATTTTCTGATCGTTTTCACACTGTGAAATCCCTGTGTGATTCGCTTTGCCCCTGTTGGCTGATCCTCTTGCCACCCCACATCTCCATACATCCCATCCTGCCCCTTTTCGTCTCATGTCAACTCACCACACGTCATCATATGCGCACTGCACCATGCCATCCCATGCCCACACCACTGCATCAGACCCAATGTCGTGTGTGTCCGCGTCAACATCAAGGGACCACTCCATGCAAGCCCACCCCATCACGTTCTCTTTCACATGTGTACGCACTGCCACGTCATCACATGTCAGATCCCGTGTCATGCGTGTTCGCGTCAACATCAAGGGACCACCCGGTGCACCTGTGGGACGCCATGACTGGCCAGGTAGCTATTCAGGTGGCACGCCAGGTGTGTGTTCTGGTGGCACGCCAGGTGTGTGTTCAGGTGGCACGCCAGGTGTGTGTTCAGGTGGCACGCCAGGTGTGTATTCAGGTGGAAACCATGGGGCACCATGGCAGGCACCAGGTGTGTTCAGGCGGCAGGCACCAGGTGTGTTCAGATGACTGTTCTGGTGTGGCCAGGTGAATCAAAGTGATGCTGCTACTCTTGTTCCCTTCTCTTTCTCCCTCGTTGCTCTTTGCTTCTAGCTGGACTTCCTTCTCGCTCCTTTCCCCTGCTCCTCCTCCCTTACTCCCACTGACACTACCCCATCAGCTGTGCTGCACATACCCTCCATACGACCACATGGATGACATCGCTGCTGCCATCTCCCTTGCATTTACCTCTGTCTCTACTCTCATTGCCCTTTCCTACTCGCATTGCCCTTCCCTACTCTCATTGCCCTTTCCTACTCGCATTGCCCTTCCCTACTCGCATTGCCCTTCCCTACTCTCATTGCCCTTCCCTACTCGCATTGCCCTTCCCTACTCTCATTGCCCTTCCCTACTCGCATTGCCCTTCCCTACTCGCATTGCCCTTCCCTACTCGCATTGCCCTTCCCTACTCGCATTGCCCTTCCCTACTCGCATTGCCCTTCCCTACTCTCATTGCCCTTCCCTACTCGCATTGCCCTTCCCTACTCGCATTGCCCTTCCCTACTCGCATTGCCCTTCCCTACTCGCATTGCCCTTCCCTACTCGCATTACCCTTCCCTACTCGCATTGCCCTTCCCTACTCGCATTACCCTTCCCTACTCGCATTGCCCTTCCCTACTCGCATTACCCTTCCCTACTCGCATTGCCCTTCCCTACTCGCATTACCCTTCCCTACTCGCATTGCCCTTCCCTACTCGCATTGCCCTTCCCTACTCGCATTGCCCTTCCCTACTCGCATTGCCCTTCCCTACTCGCATTGCCCTTCCCTACTCGCATTGCCCTTCCCTACTCGCATTACCCTTCCCTACTCGCATTGCCCTTCCCTACTCGCATTACCCTTCCCTACTCGCATTGCCCTTCCCTACTCGCATTACCCTTCCCTACTCGCATTGCCCTTCCCTACTCGCATTGCCCTTCCCTACTCGCATTGCCCTTCCCTACTCGCATTGCCCTTCCCTACTCGCATTGCCCTTCCCTACTCTCATTGCCCTTCCCTACTCGCATTGCCCTTCCCTACTCGCATTGCCCTTCCCTACTCGCATTGCCCTTCCCTACTCGCATTGCCCTTCCCTACTCGCATTGCCCTTCCCTACTCTCATTGCCCTTCCCTACTCGCATTGCCCTTCCCTACTCGCATTGCCCTTCCCTACTCGCATTGCCCTTCCCTACTCGCATTGCCCTTCCCTACTCGCATTGCCCTTCCCTACTCGCATTGCCCTTCCCTACTCGCATTGCCCTTCCCTACTCGCATTGCCCTTCCCTACTCGCATTGCCCCACTCATTTCCGCGGGTCCCTTCCCTTTTCTGCACCCCACGCACGCATCCCATCAGCCGTGCTGCACTGCACTGCACGTACCACGCATACAACCCCATGGACGAGATCGCTGCGGTGCTGCTCCCCTTTCTGCAGGTGACTTTTGAGTCGACTCAAAAGTCACCTTTCTGCATACACCTTCAATTGTTCCGTTCCTCCCTCCCACACACACCACCAATCACCTGTGGCGCACCTACCGTGCTCCGTGCCGATGACTACAAGGATGACATCGCTCCTACTTTCTCCCTTACATCACCCGCTGTCTCTACTCTCATTGCCCTTTCCCTCTCTTCTCTTCTGTCTCTTCTCCCATGTGCTCGCCACACATCCCATCAGCTGCGCTGCAAGTACCATGCCTATGGCCACAGGGACGAGACAAGATCGCTGCTGTGCTGCCCCCTTGCTTCGCACACCCTCATTTGTTCCGTTCGCCCCACCCACCCATACCCTCTCCACACTCTCTACCCCTTCAGCTGCGCTGCACGTACTGTGCGTACGACCACATGCATGGGATTGATTGCTGTTGCCGTTGTCATGCATCTTGTTGCTTATTCCCTCAACGGTAGCTCCCCCCCCCGCACCCTCCCACCACCCCATCAGCTGCGCTGCACGTACCGTGCGTACGACCACATGGACGAGATCGCTGCTGCTCTTTCACTCACCTTCTCTGCCCATGGGGATAAGTGAGTGGTGAGTGAGTGAGGGAGTGAGTGAGGATGTGAGAGCGTTGAAGAGTGAGAGCAGACGGCCACACGGATGTTATCGCTACAGGTCTCACGCTGACCTTCTCGTTCATGGAGACGAGTGGTGATGGAGTGTGAGTGAGAGGGAGTGTGGGAGTGAGTGAGTGTGGGAGTGAGTGAGGGAGTGGGTGAGGTGGTTGTGTCAGTGCATTGAACGAATAAGGGAGTGAGTCAATGAGTGATTGTGCTCAGGTGAGTCGACGGGTGAGGGGATCTTTTCTTCCTTCCTTGTCTCCTTTTTTCCTCTCCTCTCTCCCTCCTTGCCTTATATCTCCCTCGCGATTCCCCATCCCATGTGCCCCCCCCCCCTGCCACTCCTCGTGTGATTCACTTCCCCTACCCTTGAAGGCCTATTGCTGATCGAGTCGCGTTCGCACACGACATCCGGGCCTATTGTGTCTGGCGTTCTGACTAAGAAAATCGTGTGTTACCTTTCTCGCAATTAATCTCGATTCTAGCGTTAGATCTACTCTTAAGAGGCTTGCTGTGGATAGAATCCAACTCCTTTCCATCTTCCCTTGGAAAATATATTATTGAGGCGCCTCAGAAATAGGCCCCTCGTGCGATTCACTTCCCCTACGCCCGGAAATTATTCTCGCCTTGCCCTGCTGCCCAAATGTTTGATGCCCCCTTTTTCCTCCGTTCTCCCATCAACCCCCACTCTTCCACAGACGAGTGCTTGGCCTCCCCCGTTGTCTCTAGGTGTTTGCCACCATTCTCTCTCCGCCTCTCTCCTTATCCTTCCCGCCTTCCCGTCTCTTCCTCGCCCCACCTTAACAGGCTATTCCTGGGCTTTCCTCGCTGTCCGCGTGTGTTCGACGCCCTTGTCTCTCTTTGTCTCCCTTTCCCGTTCCCCTTGCGCTTCCCCTTGCACTTCCCCTTGCGCTTCCCCTCGCGCTTCCCCTCGCGCTTCCCCTTTGCACTTCCCCTTGCGCTTCCCCTTGCGCTTCCCCTTGCGCTTCCCCTTGCGCTTCCCCTTGCTCTTCCCCTTGCACTTCCCCTTGCGCTTCCCCTTGCGCTTCCCCTTGCGCTTCCCCTTGCGCTTCCCCTTGCGCTTCCCCTTGCGCTTCCCCTTGCGCTTCCCCTTGCACTTCCCCTTGCGCTTCCCCTTGCGCTTCCCCTTGCGCTTCCCCTTGCGCTTCCCCTTGCGCTTCCCCTTGCGCTTCCCCTTGCGCTTCCCCTTGCGCTTCCCCTTGCACTTCCCCTTGCGCTTCCCCTTGCACTTCCCCTTGCGCTTCCCCTTGCGCTTCCCCTTGCGCTTCCCCTTGCGCTTCCCCTTTTGCCTTCCCCTTTTGGCTTCCCCTTCCCCTGTTCTGTCTCTCCCTTGCCCTAATCCCCAGGCTAGTCCTGGGCTTTCCTCGCTGCCTGCGGGTGTTTGACACGAGCATACCAGGGCGGGACTGTGAGCAGCACAGCACGGGGAAGAAGGGGCAGGGGCAGACAGGTGCATCTAGTTTGGGGTGGAAGGTGGGGGTGGTGGTGTGGTGGTTGATATACCAGCATACCTGGCCAGGACTGTGAGTAGCACAGCACGGGGAAGAAAGGGCCGGGGCAGACAGGTAGGCATGGGGAGCAGGGGGGCAGAAAGGCACGTGAGAAGGAGGGGGAGGTGCAGAGAAGGCGGCAGCAGAGAGGGGGGTTAACACGAGTACACAGGGGCAGGACTGTGAGCAGCACCGCAAGGGGAAGAAAGGGGCAGAGGCAGACAGGTAGGCGGGAAAGGGGCAGGGGTATACCAGGTTGGGAACCCGCGTACACTTGGAAACACAGCGCAGCCTTCAAGTGATCTTATCTGCTCTCCTTTCTGCTGCTCTCCTTTCCTCCCTTTCCCCTACTCTTCCCCATCACCACTACTACCATCCCCTTCACCTCTACCATCCCCTTCACCTCTACCATCCCCTTCACCTCTATCATCCCCAGGCCTCCTCTCTTCACTCGCTGCCTACCGCTTCATCTCCGGTCTATCGGCGGTTGGTTCCTACGACTTCAGTGTGCTGCTCCATGCACACTTACTATCTCCATTGCTCCCCCTCAACTCCCCCTTCCCATCTCAGGTCTCCTCTCCCCCCTCGCTGTCAACCCCATCATCCCTGGCATCTGCAATGGTGGCATGGGGCTAAACGGGGCTCCTATGATGGCAGGATGGGGCTCTAAGGTGGCTTTCCTTTCCTCCCTCTTACCCTCCTCAGGCCTGCTCTCGTCTCTCGCTGTCCACCCTGTTATGCCGGGTCTACCAGCTGCGGGTTATGACGGCACTGTGGGGCTCTAGGGTCACTTTCTTACGATCTCAATTGTTCCCCCTCAACTCCCTCTTCCCATCCCAGGCCTCCTCTCGTCCCTCGCGATCAACCCTTTTATGCCGGGTCTACTAGCGGCGGGCTCCTATGATGGCAGTGTGGGGCTCTATGGGGACTTGGGCAGAGAGCCCATGGCAGTGATGCACGGGCACAGAGGAGGGGTCACTCAGGTGGGTGTGTGTGGGCTGTATGTCTGGGTGTGGTTGGGCTCTGTGTGTGGGTGGGTGGGTGGGCTGTGTGTGTGTGTGGGTGGGTGAGCTCTTCTGAAGGAAGCCTCAAGCCTCAGGTGCATGTGTGTGTGGGTGCTTCATTGGGCCTGAAGCCTCTATGCTGACTTTAGCAGGGAGCCGCTGGCAGTGGCACATGCACAGGCACAGAGGAGGGGTCACTAAGGCGTCTGAAGGCCCACTTCTCTCTCACTTATGCGCCCTCACTCTTCCCTCCCTCCCCCCTCTCACTGCCTCTGCTCCGTCCCATTCAAGGGATGGTCTGCGACTGTCCCTTGCACAATCCTCCTCACCTCCCCTCCCCCCTCTCACTGCCTCTGCTCCGTCCCATTCAAGGGATGGTCTGCGACTGTCCCTTGCACAATCCTCCTCACCTCCCCTCCCCCCTGTCACTGCCTCAGCTCATCACGTCCCTTCCCAGGTGCTCTTCTCTCGAGATGGTATCTTCCTCTACTCCTGCGCACGGAAGGTTGAGTTTTCCTCACTTGCCACAATCCTCCCTCCCTCCCTCCCTCCCTCCCTCCCTCCCACCCACCCCCCACCCACCTGCCCCTGACAATCTTCAGGTGCTCTTCTCTCGGGATGGTAACTTCCTCTACTCTGGGGCACGGAAGGTCAGTCCTTGCTCCTTCCCTCCCTCCCTCCCTCCCTTCCGCCCACGGAAGGCCAGTCTTTGATCTCAACTGATCTGCATGCACGCATGCTCCGCATACTGGCTCTCTCACTTGCTCGCGCACCCACACGGGTGCACACGCTCACACTCACAGGGTACACACTCACACGCACACACTCACCCACTCACACGCACACACTCACATGTACACACTCACACGCACACACTCGCACACACCCACTCACACGCACACACTCACAGGTACACACTCACGCGCATACTCTCGTCTGCACACCCTTTCTCACATTCACACAATGGCATACTCAACTCACAAGCACATATGGGGCATCCCTGTTGCTTTCATTTCTCTTTTGCATCGCACACTCAAAAGAAGTCCCTGCTGCATTCAAGCCTCATGTTTGCAAGTCCATTCCTGATGTTCAGTTTTGATTTTTGAGAAGACTCAAAAGTCACCTCATATGGGGCATGCCTGTCGCACCATTCCTCTCTCGCTTCATATGGGGCATGCCTGTCGCATCTTTCCTCTCTCGCCTAATATGGGGCATGCCTGTCGCATCATTCCTCTCTCGCCTCATATGGGGCATGCCTATCGCATCATTCCTCTCTCGCCTCATATGGGGCATGCCTGTCGCATCATTCCTCTCTCGCCTCATATGGGGCATGCGTGTCGCATCATTCCTCTCTCGCCTCATATGGGGCATGCCTATCGCATCATTCCTCTCTCGCCTCATATGGGGCATGCCTATCACATCATTCCTCTCTCGCCTCATATGGGGCATGCCTGTTGCATCTCGCCTCATATGGGGCATGCCTTTCGCATCATTCCTCTCTCGCCTCATATGGGGCATGCCTATCGCATCATTCCTCTCTCGCCTCATATGGGGCATGCATGTCGCATCATTCCTCTCTCGCCTCATATGGGGCATGCCTATCGCATCATTCCTCTCTCGCCTCATATGGGGCGTGCCTGTCGCATAATTCCTCTCTCGCCTCATATGGGGCATGCCTGTCGCATCGTTCCTCTCTCGCCTCATATGGGGCATGCCTATCGCATCATTCCTCTCTCGCCTCATATGGGGCATGCCTATCACATCATTCCTCTCTCGCCTCATATGGGGCATGCCTGTCGCATCATTCCTCTCTCGCCTCATATGGGGCATGCCTATCGCATCATTCCTCTCTCGCCTCATATGGGGCGTGCCTGTCGCATCATTCCTCTCTCGCCTCATATGGGGCATGCCTGTCGCATCGTTCCTCTCTCGCCTCATATGGGGCATGCCTGTCGCATCGTTCCTCTCTCGCCTCATATGGGGCATGCCTGTCACATCATTCCTCTCTCGCCTCATATGGGGCATGCCTTTCGCATCATTCCTCTCTCGCCTCATATGGGGCATGCCTATCGCATCATTCCTCTCTCGCCTCATATGGGGCATGCCTGTCGCATCATTCCTCTCTCGCCTCATATGGGGCATGCCTATCGCATCATTCCTCTCTCGCCTCATATGGGGCGTGCCTGTCGCATCATTCCTCTCTCGCCTCATATGGGGCATGCCTGTCGCATCGTTCCTCTCTCGCCTCATATGGGGCATGCCTGTCGCATCGTTCCTCTCTCGCCTCATATGGGGCATGCCTGTCACATCATTCCTCTCTCGCCTCATATGGGGCATGCCTTTCGCATCATTCCTCTCTCGCCTCATATGGGGCATGCCTATCACATCATTCCTCTCTCGCCTCATATGGGGCATGCCTGTCGCATCATTCCTCTCTCGCCTCATATGGGGCATGCCTGTTGCAATCAATCCTTAGTTCGTGAGTCGATTCCCGACATTCAGCTGTACCACTCCTCTCATTCCTGACATTCAGTTGTACCACTCCTCTCATTCCTGACATTCAGTTGTACCACTCCTCTCATTCCTGACATTCAGCTGTACCACTCCTCTCATTCCCGACATTCAGCTGTACCACTCCTCTCCTCTCATTCCCGACATTCAGTTGTACCACTCCTCTCATTCCCGACATTCAGTTGTACCACTCCTCTCATTCCTGACATTCAGCTGTACCACTCCTCTCATTCCCGACACTCAGTTGTACCACTCCTCTCATTCCCGACATTCAGTTGTACCACTCCTCTCATTCCTGACATTCAGTTGTACCACTCCTCTCATTCCTGACATTCAGTTGTACCACTCCTCTCATTCCCGACATTCAGTTGTACCACTCCTCTCATTCCTGACATTCAGTTGTACCACTCCTCTCATTCCCGACATTCAGTTGTACCACTCCTCTCATTCCTGACATTCAGTTGTACCACTCCTCTCATTCCTGACATTCAGTTGTACCACTCCTCTCATTCCTGACATTCAGTTGTACCACTCCTCTCATTCCTGACATTCAGTTGTACCACTCCTCTCATTCCTGACATTCAGTTGTACCACTCCTCTCATTCCTGACATTCAGTTGTACCACTCCTCTCATTCCCGACATTCAGTTGTACCACTCCTCTCCTCTCATTCCCAGGTGATTTTTTAGTCGACTCAAAAATCACATATGGGGCATCCCTTCTGTTGCATTCAAGCCTTATGTTCACTATTCCATTCCTGGCGCTCAGTTGTACCAGTCCTCTCCTTCCCATCGATTCCCCAGGATCCCACCATTTACTGCTGGGATGTGCGGAATACAGCAGGCGCTGTTTACAGGTGTGTTTTGCTATGTGGGTTTGGGGATCTCTGGACATATGTGGGTTTGGGGATCTGGACAGACCTACACTGGAAGATATCTATCTGGATTTGAATATCCATGCAGGAGGAAACCTGTACGCATATGGATGGAGATGTTTCGTCTATTCGTCTCTCATGACCCACTTGTCTCTATACGAGGGGATGAAACGATCCACGTGTCTCTATGAGGAGACGATATGATCCACTTGTCTCTATGAGACGATATGATCCACTTGTCTCTATGAGGAGACGATATGATCCACTTGTCTCTATGAGACGATATGATCCACTTGTCTCTATGAGGAGACGATATGATCCACTTGTCTCTATGAGGAGACGATATGATCCACTTGTCTCTATGAGACGATATGATCCACTTGTCTCTATTAGGAGACGAAACGAGACAAGTGAATCGATTCGTCTCTTACAATCCACCCTTACTGCCGTCACGCTTTATACCTATATTCCCACTCAGCATGCATCGGTGCGTGACGTCCACCAATCAGCGCATCGCGTTTGACATCGACCCATCCAACCGGCATCTAGCCACAGGAGGAGAGGTGAGGCGGGAAGAGGGGTATGGTGCATGAAGGTATGGTGCGTGGGTGGGTGGGTGGGTGGGTGCGTGGGTGGGTGGGTGGGTGGGTGGGTGGGTGGGTGCATGGCCACATGAATGTGAAGGCATGACGGGGGATGGGGTGCTTTTGATGTGCCACCTCTTGCCTCAACTACACTTACCCACTTCACCCTGTGAAAAGCATGCCCCATTTCAACCACTCCTTCTCTCAACCGCTCCCCCTCTCAACCGCTCCCCCTCTCAACCAACCCCCCTCTTAACCGCCCCCGCTCTCAACTGCAGGATGGTCAGGTGTGGGTGTTTGACCTCGCGTCCGGTTCCAAGGTCGCATCCTTCCAGGCTGCTCAAGGTAACATTGATGCCTCTGTGCAATGCAGTACAGTGTGGTGCGGAATGGTGGACGGATGTTGAGAATGGTCAGGTGTGGGTTTCTTACCTCGCTTCCAGCTCCATTGCTGCAGCCATGGCATTTCTCCTCATATGCATTCCACCTTTCTGTGCGCCACCCCATATCCCGCCACCCCTGATCCCGCCACCCCGTATCCCGCCACCCCGTATCCCGCCACCCCTTATCCCGCCACCCCTTATCCCGCCACCCCTTATCCCGCTACCCCGTATCCCTTTCTCCCTCCCAGATACCGTCAATGGATTCTCCTTCCACCCCTGCCTGCCGCTAGCCGCCACGTCATCAGGCAACCGCAGATTCCACCTGCCGGCCCTCACACCTGGCAGCTCACCTGAAGTAGGCAGCGTTTCACCTGAAGCACCTTCCGTTTCACCTGAAACGGGTGTCCTTCCTCGTGAATCTGCTTCTCTTTCGGGAGCTGGGATTGTGACAAGTGTTCATGATGTATCTACACCGCTGCACAGTGAGTGTTTCTTAAAATTGTGGTTTTGAGGCACCTAAAACATCACGACACAGTGTGAGTGCTTCTTTAGAGTATGCCTTTGAGGCGCGCCTAAAACATGCATCCCCTCGGCTGCACGGTGAGTGTTTGCTAGAGAAGGAGGTCCAGACAGACCTCATGTCCGGAAGTTCGCAGTGACAATTCTGCAGCATCAGCATGATTGGAAGAGATTATCGTGGTCGTGAGTTGATCTTGCCGCGAAGTTTCTGACACAAGGTCAGGAATTCATGCTTATTATGCATTCACACGTCACGGGTCGTGAAGCAGTATAAGCCTGAATTCCGGACTCTTGTTCCACTCTCATTTTTCACCATTCCTTTTCAAGAAAATAGCAGTGACGATTCAAGTGGTGACAAGCGGGTCCACATTGCAGATGTTAAGTGTAGCATCCTTATGTGAAAGGTTTTGTAGATTTCTAAAATAACTAACATCCACCTGTGTCTTGTTTTTAATTCCTTGTCGTTTTTGGCACCCTCTTTCTCGCAGAGTTCAATAACTGCCTTGCCATGTGGCAGTTCCAATGCAAGTGGGCATAAGGTGTGTATCTCAGCAGGTTGCTCTGCAGCAGCACACTCAGTGTACAATGAATGACGGTTACGATATTGGTAAAGAAAAGGGAAGTGCACTACCATTGCCTAATTTAAGCTCCTAGAAAAAAAAAAAAAAAAGTGTGGACTTCCCACAGCGAATTGCCACCGCTTGGTGCAATATGGAAGTGCGCTGAAAGTACGGTAAGTCTGGGTGATTTTCACACGAGGTGGATGGAAGTTGGATGAAACCCACAAATAATGGCTCTCGAAACCAGAAGATAATGCATTCGTGGCAGCCTATTTAACGGCGCTTTCTCTGTTGAGGTATGGCGCGGCGCATTGTACCGTATGCCTCCATACTTGACGAAAGCATTACTCAGAGGCTTTGGGACAAAAATTGTGTAAGAGCACATGTTTTTGTAAGCCTATGTACAGTCCAGTTGGATGCCTATACAGTACCACGTCGTTCACGCGGATGAGCGGAGAACTCGAGTCTCGACACACTGAATTGAATGCCCGTCACCATCACTGCCCAGACAGACTTGGTCCCCCACGAGCTCCTTTCCACCCCACCCCTCACTCCCCGACATCCCCCCAGCATCCCTCCCCAACTTCCACTTCCCCCCTTCACACTTCCCCCATTCACACTTCCCCCCTTCACACTTCCCCCTTCACACTTCCCCCATTCACACTTCCCCCCTTCCCACTTTCCCCCTTCTTACTTCCCCCCTTCCCACTTTCCCGTTTCCCCGGTTTCCGTTCCGAACCGAATCTCCCCACGGCCGCATCGCAACGCAACACCCTCGACAGTCCCTACATCCTGCCCTTCTGTTCGCCTTTCAAGGCTACATTCGGGCTGAGCCGAGCCGCGTGGAAAATCCCCAAACACTCACCTGAGCCTCCAATTCGCCCACATGTCTCTCACCTTGCGAGCACTAGAGCAAAAGCCCGACTCAACGAACCAACCAACAACTGTACAGGTAACGGTGTGAGGAGGCATTCCTGGCCTCGAAACAGATACCTCCGAACAGATGTGTGGGTCTCCGAACTTTTGGGATTGCTCGGAAGTGGAATTGCCTGCTTCGTAGATGGATTCAGACGTTCCCGAACCACGTCCCAAGTATTTTTTGGATCTCCTTCAAAATTTCTGAGAGTGTTCAGAAATCCGCCCTGCTCGCGTTCGGATTCGAAGTCACATCACTCGGAAATATAGGAAAACCCCGAAAATGGGTTATGTTTACCTTTTAAATTTCTGAAATCATGCTGAGAAGCACCTTGACTTCTCGGAATCACGGGTAGCTACCCTTCTAGTGTGGAATCTGTTCGGAAGCCATCTGTTCGTAACAGCCTGGAATGTGACCTGAGCAACCCCCACCGTCCCCAGAAACGACCATGGAGCGGGGTGAATGAGAGTCGCCATAGACATGTCCCTTGCCGCTTTTCTAGGCGTCGTGGTCAGGGGAACAGTGAGGACAGCCAACCGAACAGGCATGGCGGTGCGCTTGGCGCTGATAGGGATTTCTTTGGACAGTGGCTTGTTTCTTATTCCACGTCATCTGAACCCCTTGACGCATCACCATCATGCGAGGAAGGGCTGACCCCAGGGAAGCAAAGACTGTTTTGTTCCGATTCGAAATTGGACCGCGCCACGCCCATTCCGTATGGACCAGGAACACGGCCTCCGGCATAATTTGAGTGTCCATGGTGATTCCCGAACAGGAATTGGGTGTTGCGGGCGAGCGAGCGTGCGAGAGGATCCCCCTTGCAGACGATTTCCGGCTAGAAGACGACGGATAAATCCACTGGACTTCCCTGGCCGTACATCCACGACGCTGCGTTGAAACTTGGAATTCTCCCAGAAGTAGGCGCTTATTGCACCCACCGTTTCTCAGCAGTGAGTCTCCCTCCCTCTGCGCTTGCGAGGAACGAGCTTGCCGTAGCTTCAGTCAGAAGAATCCGCTACGGTTAGCGCCTGGCAGGAGTTTATTGGAGGCTCAGATTCGTCTGTTTCCTGAAGCCCATCCTTTGTCGTCTCTCCTCCTGTCGAGCGGCGGAGTTATGTAAACTTTAGATGAACGAGCAGTAGTCCCTCAACCAGAGAGTAATTTAGTCACGACTTCCCGCATTGCCGCTTTACACGAGCTACGCTATTAGTCCTAGTCGAGAATACAGGTGGTTGCGACCCCATCAGCCTCATCAGCCGCATCAATATCGATCCAGCAGCGCGGAAGCCCGCAAGCCTAGCTTACACTTGTCGCTTCTGCACGCCCGCATCCAATTCCCTCGTGCATCTGTTCCCCGCTCCGCCTGCTCGACACGCTGGTTCGCGATGGTTGAAGCGGCGGAACAACCCAACTCAGTGCCGCGGCCTAGAACAGTCCTGGTGGCCGTTAACGGCAGCGACGCGAGCGACGCTGCTCTTTTGTTCGCTCTAAAGTCGATAATCTCAGACCAAGACACGCTGATCATATTACATGTTCGACCCACAGGTATGTGAACCGCCGTGCACGTCCCTTCCCTATCACTGCTCCACTCCACCAATTACGTTGGTAAACGAGCTCTTTCAACAGTGCTTCACCCCCCCTTTTCCTTGCTCCCCAATGGTGTTTTGCTCTGTTGAATGGCTGAAAGATCTTCTTACGTAGCGCGAGCTCTCATTTGTTATCTCCTCCTCTCACATCCACTCATCTTACTCACGTTTCCAATATAAATCCGTCTCTCTTGACCCTTCCGTCATCAGACAGGATCTCACATCTCTGTACAGCAGCTACCCGGATCCAGAGGCGGAGATTAAGACCCACCACGCGTTTATCCGCGCTACAATCAACGACGCCGCTAGAGTCGTACGCTCCCAAGGGTTCCCCGCAGCGCGTGTTAAGGTGGAGGAGGGCGATCCGAGGAAGGTGATACCCAAGGTGGCAGAGGCTGAAAAAGCCGACCTGGTTGTTTTGGGATCACAGGGGAAGCGAACTTTGCATGTGAGTGACCTCCTCCCCTCAGCCGTACTCCTCGTCACTCTATTCACTAGTTTTGCGCTGTCCCCCTTCCACTCGTAATGCCACATGTTGGACGTTCTTGGTGTGTTTAGAAGCCTTTCAAGACATCTTATACAGCATGTACAGCCATTGACATCCCTATCCATTTCTTCCCGTTTTCATTTTCTTTCTGGGATTGTGCACTTGCAGTACATGTTGGCGGGGGACGTGGCATCACATTGTGCAAGAAGTGTAGCTGTGCAGTCATCACGTACAAATCAGCCAATGGAGGCTCAGTGGTGTTCAATAAACGAGGCTTGCAGGAGCAGAAACGCCTGGGGATCTCCCTAGGACAGTTCAAGCAGGAAGCTGATGTTTCTGATGTGGAGGCAGCAGCTTGAGTCGGATGCAATTCGAAGTGTACTTTTGTAGCATGCTTTGCAACCTAATGTAATCATATACGTATTATAGTGCATATTCGCGCACCGTTAACAGAGGTGTCAATCGAAGCTCTTGTACCGCGAAGCTGCTACTTTGCAGGTGGTGAATGCTTTCACGCTACAAGAAAGTCTACCGTACTGAACCGCCTTTCCTCCCTTTCCTCGCACGTGTGGCAAAGCAAGACTTGCAATTTCATTTTCACCAACCCCAACGCACAGAACCGAACACGAAGTGTATTCTTGTTGGTTCTCATCGTACTCGGCGTTGCACGCGCGCACCATTCTGAATCACGCAGGAAAGCCTTCTCCTCCCCAAACCACAACCACCGCCATCCCCACCCAACCACCCAACAAACCCAACCATCCCCCTCCCTCCCCCGCACAGTCAACCAAAAACTACACTCTCTGAAATGCACAGTACGCCTAAATATCCTTCTGAACCGTCAATTTTCACCTTCTCACAGCTGTCACCCACAGATCCCAACTGCATGCACCCGTCTGGACCGCGCACGAAACCCCAGCCTTCCTCCCCAACCACCAAGTTTCACCTTCGCTGAGCTGTCACCAACAGGCCCACCACCACAATCTTTCTGAACCGCACAGACTAGTTCAGGAAACCCCTCCTCTTCTGCCAGGCTACTCACACACACCTCGAACTCAGCTTCTCCCTCCCCCCACGAATACAGCTAGGGTCGCTCGCACCACCTGACCAAACCCCTACTCTTCCGCTGTCACCGAGTTCCACCTTATCGCACCCGTGAGCAACAGATCCAGCGTCACACCTTTCTGAACCGCGTAGGAGATCTCTGCTCTTCCGCCATAACCGCGTTCTACCTTCTCAGACTCTTATTGCTTTTTTTAGAAGCACTCTACCGCGGCCTACCGTTCCTAGGCACCTTCCGCCAGTTTCAGCCTGACTGCACCGCATCACAACCTCCTAACCGTCACAGCCATGGCGCTTCAGGGACATGATATCAATGACGAGCTTCAGCTTCACTCCGCTAACGGCACGCTTCAGCTACACGTCTCTAACGACGCCACTAACGACGCGCTTCAGCCGCACGTGGCCAACGTCGACGGCGGCCTAACCCTAGCACAGGCTCCTGTGCCTAAAGCCGAAAAATCCAAAGTCCTAAATGGAGCAGCAGCGGAGCGCTACAAGCTTCCCATGGTCGTCAATTCCCTACCGTCCGATCAATCGACCGACTCCGTACCGGGTAAGCGGCGGCCGAATCTTGTCACCGGGCTTCACGGCGTGAAGGTCCTCTACGGCCGGTTCCAGAGCTCCATCGATTTCGACGGCCAGCGACACACGCTGGGAACATGGGATGACCCTATGGAAGCGGCCAAGGGGTACGCGGCCGCGGCGTATATGATTGTCCACTTGGGCGTTCGCGCGGTGTCGGCGATTCTGACGGATGAGGAGCAGGCGTGCCTGAAACGGATGTCGCACGACGATTTTATCACGATCTTGAAGTTCCCCGGCGCGTGGAAGCAGTGGCAGCGGTGGGAGGAGCTGATGCCGCGGTGGCGCGCGCACTACGACAACCTGGCGCGCAAGCACGGGGAGATGGACACCGTGCGCATAGGGCGGAAGAAGCGCAAGACGAAGGCGCTGTTGGAGTCCGCTCCGCACGTAGGGAAGTTCACAGCAGCGGCGGCAATGAACGGCCTGCAGACTCCGATGTTTGCGTTGGACCCCGGCATGCATGTGGGGGGTGTTGTGGAGCAGGGGGGGGAGGGGAGGCGGTTGGTGTTGGGGGTATCGGAGGGGTAGGATGCATTGAAGGGGTGGGAGGGATGGGGGTGTTGGGGAACCAGGAGTGCTGGAGAATGGGTATGGTGGAGGGGAAGGGGAGGAGACGGGTAGCAGCATTGAGGGTGGCCAAGCTTCAAGGAAGAGGGCGAGAGGAAGGCATGTGTGAGAAGAGGTAAATGGGGGGAAGAGGCACGACGAGGTAAATGGGGGGAATTGTGGGACATGCCATGCCATCGAGATTGGCAAGTGAAATAGACGGGATATATGGTTGTTGGAATTGCTGGTGGTTCGTCCAAGCTTGCTAGATAGGAAGATTGTTATGCTTTAGCTTATGGAATAGGAGGGCGGTTCCGTCAAACCTTATTTTCTAATTAATAAATGTGAGCTGTTTTGACCATCGAGTAGTATGTTGACTACATTTATTACATGTGAACTATTTAAATTGTGACTCTATTCACCTCCTTTTCACAGGTACGGTTCTTTACATAAGAATTGCTGATAACGAAGACAAGGAAGCCATTCGGCGAAAAGGGTGTGTGTAGGTGGCACCAATCCAGTGTGCCCGGCGGCACAGCGCATCAAATTTCGACCAGCATCCTCCAATCCAACTCCGAGGTTTCCCGCCAAAGTCCCCTCCTGCCTCAAAAAAAGCCCCTGAAGGAAGGATTCAGGAATCAGGAATCGGGGTTTTAGCTTATGCAATCAACTCAGTGGGGCAAATTATTTCTTCTGCCGTCATGCTGACATGGCGCGTTTCTATGCGTTTAAAACTTACCGAGGCAGTATAGCCCCGCCAACCAGCTATACCGAACCCACCCCACGAAACATATCTCCGCGAGTGAAGGGTTTACCCAACCCGAAACGGCATGCGGGCCCCAATGGGTTTGTTTTGTTTTGCCCCGGGCAGCCTGCTTGCCTGATTTGCGTACCTATGCTAGCCCAAAAATGTTTTGTTTCGCAGCAAGCTTGGATGACTGGTTTCATATAGCTGCCTGTTTTGGCTCCGAACCTCGAAAAGGGCACCAAGTCATCACTCGCACGTATTGACGGCGAAAGGAATAATTTTCCCTACTGATTTGACTGCAGAAGCTAAGACCCTCAGGAATCTGCATTCAAACCAGGAAGGGCTCTAGTCTAGTTAGTTGTAAATGGAAGAGCCAAGGTTGCATGTATGGCAAAGGCCGAAGTGAGGGCCACCGTACTCCGTCGGTTATCAGCAGGTTTCACACTCACCATGATAACGCAGCTTCTTTTCTGATCAATATCCGCATTGAAGAAGCGAGGACGTGCACCTTTACGATCGCCGGCGTGTTTCCGGAATGAGCATGGCCAAATGCCACAACTAACCATTCAACGCGGGGGATTCGTGCGAACCAGACTCGGAGTGACAAGAGTTGATCACTAACGTGCGGGGTCGTCAGCTCGGAGTGCATTGCTCTGTACGACCATGGCCGAAGCAAGCAAATCGCATGGCTTCGCCAAGGGACGCTGGCTCGCTCTCATTGGCTCAATGTGGTTGCTCGCGTGCGCCGGAAACAGTTACAACTTCGCCATTTATTCCCCAACCATCAAGGCATGTCGGATGCAGAGCCCCCTAACTCCTGGCCTCCTTCGTTCCAGCTAGATCAACACGGAGCAGCCATTGAGCAGCATTTGAGCCATTGAGCTATAATGGCATGCTTGCAGTGCTTTCTTGACACTAAAGCGTTCATGGTAAAGCGAGTGCCTCAGACGTACACGCCTGAGCGTCTCTAGCCGCACAAATATACGCTGGAAGCATCTGGGACGTCTTGAGTACCGGCATCTCCAAAGGACGCATTGTCGGAGAGCCTGCCTCTCAAGCCAAAACCGACCCCGGAAGAGCATCATAAAGCCATGCTTCTTGCCTGTAGCGCGTACTAAGAACTACCACTCGCTCACGTTATCCCCTCACTACCGAGCTTTCGCCTTTGAGCGGGAGGAGATGTGGTGCAGCCATGAGAGTTCGTCCAGCACTGCGACCAGTCACGTGTATATCCGCGTCCCTTTGGACTTGTCCCTTCCGTGTGCATGCGTGCAGGACGTGCTGGGGTACAACCAGCAGGCCATCAGGACGCTGGGAGTGACCAGGGGCACACGAGCCTGCTCCGTTGCATCTGCTTTCCAGCGACTCAGACTCTACTCCCCACCGCGTGCATGCTCCCCACCGCGTGCATGCGTGCAGGACGTGCTGGGGT